AGCATATGCGCCACAGAAAGAGATTCTAAACAGAAGAAACTTACCCTCTGTCTTAGGAAGATTTGCATCCAACGCTCAGCACCCCAATCCTACAACCTTTATTTGAAACACTGGGACAGGAGACGAGAAGCTGGAGGGTATAAAGAGGGTGCAGGGGCACTGTCAGGCTCCTTCTGATTTTCTCTCAACCTTGCTAATAGTGCTGGTGAGACACTGCTAACAGTGCTCACTCTCCATAATAATAGAATTCAAGGACAAATTCCTGAGTCATTCTTCCCAGCCATTGCACATAATTGAGCTTGCCGAGGCCTGAGAGATAATCAAGTGTGCTTTCTCTTGGCAGACAAACAGACCTGGCCCCTGCCAATGCACATCAAACTGCTAGCAGGCAAGCTCTATAACAGAAGCTACATACAGAAAAACATAACTCGTTACCTAACTTGTTACCCAGTGTGTTCACCGTGCTCCCTTGTCCACCCCTGACCAGTCATATTTTGCTTTTTCCTAGCCCTAGCTGGCCTCAGCTTGCGTGCTCTATCATCAGATGGGATGGAGGTGCCAGCCTCCTCTTAAATTTTTCTGCTAAAGAATAAAGTAGATGAACCAAAAAAAATACAACAGAGTAGTTCAGCAACCAGACGGAATAAGCCAGAAACTGAATCAGTGAGCTTGAAGGTAAAGTAGAAGAAATCATCTAAAAGACCAGCAAAAATAAGAAAACACTAAAAACAATGACATTAACACAAGCTCAATATGTGACAGCATCAAGATGAACCACATTTTCATTTAGGAGTTCCAAAAGAAGAGGGGGGGAAATTCTGTTTTTGCAGGAGCCTCCCAAGCAATGCTCAAGTGGTCCATGGGTCATTTCTAGAGATGCTCAGCCAACCAGCTTAGACAGTTCAATGCTAGGGCTTGGTGATGCCGCGTTGCTTAGGTCCAGTAGTGCTGGGGCCATGAGGGCCACACCCAATGGTGTGTGGGGAATGTGGTGCCGGGGAATAAACTTGGCTCCCTCAACGTGCAAGGACCCTGTCCTTAGCACATAGCATGCCGCCAGCCTTAGGGCGGATTTCTCCTTTGAAGAAATGAGAGCTGAGAATTTCCCTAAACAGAAATAATAGTCATCCAGCAGCAATGTCAAAACTTTTTAACAAATGGTGCAGGGGGAAAAAAAGAACTTTTACTTGCACCTTACACCATAAACAAAAAATTACTAAAACTGGGATAGAGATTTAAATAAAAAATCTAAAGCCATAAGATTTCCAGACGTGCATAGGAGAACCTGTTTGTGATCTTAAGTTACACTAACCACCAATTACCCAATACAGAAAATAAAAAGTTTGACTTCATCAAAAATAATAAAATTTGTTCTTCAAAAGACATTTAAGAAATGAAAAGAGGAGTCACGGACAGAAAAAATATTTTCAAGTTATACCTGATCAAGAACTTGTATCTAGAACATATAAAGAACTCTGAACATTCAATAGAAAATCAAATAACTCAGAAAGTGGGAAAAAGATTTAGACATCTCGCTAAATAAAATAGATGTCAACTGAACACATGAAAAGATGCCCAGTATCATTAGTCCTTAGGGAAACTAAACAGTGAGATGCCACCTCACCCACCCCTCTTAAAATGGCTAAATAGCAAAAAGACTGCCATACTGAGTTACACATGGGAATCTGAAGCAATAATATAAAATACTCTTTTATCTTTATTTTTTGGGGGGTATTCAGGGGTTACTCCTGGTTCTGCATTCAGGGATCACTCCTGAGGGATTGGGGTGCTGGGGATTGAACCTGTATTGATTACGTGCAAGGCCAATGACCTATCCACTGTACTATTGCTCCTGTCCTCTTACTTTTTTTTAAACTTTTAAAAAATGTATTGAAGTTTTGTGAATTACAGCATTGTTAATGATGGTTTCCCAGGAACATAATTCCAACCCCACACCCATCACCAGTGTGCTCTTCCTTCTCCCAAGGACCCCAATGTCCCTTACATTAACACCCTCCCAGACAACTTAGTTTTGAGAATCAGGCATCCTATTGTGTTTCCTCTGCCCCTTTATTGCTACTTTGTTGTGTATATCTTCAAGTTCTATATATGAGAGAGACCATTCTCTTTCCTTTTGACTGACTTCACTCAACATGATATCTTCTGGTTCCATCCATGTTGCGGTGAATTGCATGATTTTGTTTTTTATTTGAACTGCATAGTATTCCATTGTGTATATATACACTACAGCTTCTTGATGACAGCCTTAAGTCCAGGTGTAATGACATAAATCTCTTCATGTGTGAGTTCTTGGGAAGCCCTGCCTTGTCCCACCTTTTCTCTTAGCCTCTGTATTGCCGTCACTGCTTTCTCATTGGGTCATGTTGGCCTTGTGGGAAGAATTCCAGACTAGATGCAGAAAATGAATATTCTCCTACAGGGTTCTGCTACATGGTGTGTGATCTTGCATAAATTAACTTACTCCCCCACACTCAACTTCATCTCTTTTCTCATCTCTTACATTGGGGACCTGCATTAAAATTGCCTGGTCATGTTCTCACAGGACATGAGAGGTGTTCATGAATATACTGTTAAGTGAAAAACAAAGTTGGATCCACACTTACATATAAAATCTGGTGACAATTATATAAAATATTTTTAGGAAAAGACCTACAAAGACATGTATGTGCAACTGCGTTGGTAGCATTCTGAGTCCTTCCTTCCTACGTTCTTTTGTTCTTTCCTTCCTTTTTTCTTCCCTTCCTCACTCTTTGCATTTTCTACAATATGGGCAAAAAAATTATAATTGGGAAAACTAAGAAAAATGAGGGCCCTGATTTGATATTTTAATATTACAAGTTGCTGGAATGTTTCCACAATTGGACAAACAAACAACATAAAAACTAAGACCAGTTTTTCACATTTTGGGGATTCCTCTTGAAGTTGTAGATACTTGGTCTAAGAAAGTCTCTTGGTAAAGAATTGGAGCCAGATGCTTTTCACTATTTTTTCTTTTTTTGCTTAGAATCACAAAGCTTCCAGTTTTGCCTTTTCTTCACTTCATGAGGAAAAATATATGTCATAACAAGCCTGCTCTATTCATTTTAAGTTTAAAACTTATTTTTGACTTAAATTAATATGACCAAGGAGCAATGGATCTAGCATGGTGAGTGGGGTGCTGGTCATGGAAGGGATGTGGTAGAGTCTCCCCCTGTTACTGTCCCTGAAGTTCATAGGGGGCATCATTGTCTTTCATTATTGTTTTCTGGCATCATATCAGCAACTTGGAATTTGCCAAATTTATGATCCCGAATCTTTAGCAACCATTATCTGCTTTCCATCTATTGTGAATTCTTGATCTTACTGGTCCTTCTGTTAAAACATTAAAAACTATAATCTTTCAAATAATCTTTTGGCTGTAACTGAAAAAGATTAGAAGTACATCTAGTATCACTGGAAGATATCTTCTCTTCCTAGATTCTTCATTATAATAGGTTCTCAGAGGATTAAGATAATCTCTTTCATATCTTGTTATTTATAGATTTTTGAAAGAACAAGAAAACTCCAAAATGTCTTTGTTCTCTGTGTATATCCCAAAGGCTGAAATTTATTGCAAGGCTTAATTTTTTTTCTCCAGATGATAAGGCATAAGAAACACATCTGACCTGAGATTTTCTGTATTTGAAATTCCAAGAACAACTTAAAGGAAGAGAGACCCTGAGAGCCCTTTCATGAGAATAGCACGTCCAACTGAGACACTTGGCGACTAAGGGCAGAGGTGCAAGGATATCTTGGCAGATCGTGATCAGTCCAAAGGAGAGTCAACTGCTGGAGGGTAGCCAGGAAAATAATTTCCAATATTTACTGAACATTTAGTACATGCTAGGAACTGTTCGAAGCATGTTTCACATGTACCTCACTTAAACCTTTATATCAACACTTATTATCATCTCTTGCTATAAATAGGGATACCGAGGCACAGAAAGAGTGGACGCTTTAAGACTGGTCAATTTTGGTTTGAATCTCCAGCCCTGCAGACACACAGAGGTATAGAATCTCTTGAAGTCTCACTTCTTTAATGTATAAAGCAGTGTGATCTTGAAGGCTCAATAAAATATGTAATAAAGCAGGTGCTTGGCACATAGATCTTTCAGACATAGTCAGCCTGCTTTCCATGGCCCCTCCTAAGTGATTAAGATGGCAGCATTTGGATGTTGTTGGAAGTAAATCACAACAGTCTCAACCTCCTGCCTCACTCAGCTAGAATAGTCACAGTAGTCAACCCTGGAGCCAAGTCTTTGCCAACTCTTTTCTCTCTGTTCTCTGTTCTCTCTGTTTCTGTCTCTCTGTCTCTCTCCCTCTCTCTCTCTCTCTCTCACACACACAATTATGATCATCCTGTTGTTCATCAATTGCCTCGAGCAGGCACCAGTAACGTCTCCTTTGCCCTAGCCCTGAGATTTTAAAAAGTGCCATATTCAAGGCTCTTTCAGGGTTAGGAGAATGAGACCCATCATTGTTACTGGTATTTGGCATATTGGGTACGCCACGGGGAGTTTGCCAGACTCTGCCGTGTGGGCAGGTTACATTTGGTAGCCTGCCGGGTTGTCCAAAGTAAGAGTGAGATAATAAAATGACTATAAAACCCAGCTCTCTCTCTCTTTCTCTCTCTCTCTCTCTCTCTCTCTCTCTCTCTCTCTCTCTCTCTCTCACACACACACACACACACACACACACTCAAAGTCCAATCATACATTTTCTTCAGATAAGGTGCCCCTCCCAACTCCCATACTCCACTGTAAACCCATCAGAAGTAAACATTTAATAACCCTCTTTTAAGAATCTTCCATCCAGTTCCAGAATCCTACCACTTGCGATTTGTGAGGTCCCGTGACAGAGAAGCAGACAAGAAGATCACCTTTTGCTTATGTTTTTCCACTCTCCCCCAAGGGTGAGGTATTACCCGCCCTTTCCCCAAATCTTCTATTCCAAAAGCTTACCTGTATCTGGGGCACAGGCCTCATCTGCTTTGGCAGCATTATCCTCATTTTGGATGTTGGGATCTAGAGAACAAGGAGAAAATATCAACAACAGTCTGTAGCCTCCAATTTCTTACAAAGGGGCAGGTAGGGGGGTGCTTCTCCTGAGTATGGACCACAAAGTGTGTGTCTCTGGGTTACTATCAGTTGGGTTCGTGCTAACTTCTTGGGCTTAACTCTCTTCCCTCATAATAACCCAAGCTCCAGAAAGAAAGTGACTCTACCTTACCCTTCCTTTATACTCCCAGGCTAGTCTCAGTCTGGACACAAACCCTAAACATGTTCTATCCATGAAAAGCCTTTTGTGGCCCTGCTGTATGTGAGCTGGTGTCTCCTCTCCCCCCCCCCCCCCCCGGTACACTCCACTCTGAGTGGTAGGATCTTTATTACTACTAACTGTGGGCCCTAAAAGGGGAATAGACCTGGCTCCCTGGTCCCCATTCCCGCCCATAGGGAAGGCCCTGCACTCAGGGGACCCTGTGCATAGTGCGATGGTAAGTGGGACAAATTTCCCTTCCATCTTAGAGAATACCGGTCCATGTACCTGGGCCACAGGCCTCGCTGTTGCTGGCCCCCTCCTTTGGATGGTCAGGGGTCTCTTGTCTGGGTTTCTGGCTGAAGGCCAGGAAGAGATGTGTACTCAATGGCTGAGGAAGGTCCACCTCCAGGTATGATCTCATGAACAGCTTGAAGACATCATAGCTAATCGGCTGAGAAGGAACACAAGGGAAAAGTCAGTGGAGAAAGGCCCAGGAGAGGGAGAAGAGGAAAGGGAAGCTGGCAGGGGAGAGAAAGAGGGAAGGGGAGGTAGAAGGAAGTGAGAGGATTAGTGAGGGTGGGAATGCAAAGGGTCAGGGATCAGCAGAAAGGAGGAAAGAGAGAGACCAGGTTGGTAGTTACGGGTGGGGGCTGGCGACGACAGAACCAGAGGAGACTTAGCCATCTGACTAGATGGAGACTGAGCACTGTTGGTGGGGGTCACTGTAGGGGCTCTCCAGGAGTCCAGACACATGGGAGGGATGAGGCCAGTGCTCTGGAATCCTAGTGAAGACGAAGAAGATTGTAGTGGAACACATGAAAAAATCATCGGGGCTGTAGGAATAGCACAGCGGGTAGGGCGTTTGCCTTGCATACGGCCGACCTGGGTTCGATTCCCAGCATCCCATATGGTTCCCCAAGCACCACTAGGAGTTATTCCTGAGTGCATGAGTAACCCCTGTGCATCACCTGGTGTGACCCAAAAAGAAAAAAAAAATCGTGTCTTCTGTGGTATCTTAATTTTCTGCCTGTTCTCCAAGTGAGGTGATTCCCAAGTGGTCACATCTCAGGAGACGAGAAGACAGAAAAAAAGGGACAGGCTCTGCCCTTCATTGCTTTCCTAACTGACCTTCCTTCAAGGCAACAGGGGAGCATGCCTGGCAGAGCAGCTCTCAAAACATGTTCTGGGGGAGATTTAGTCACAGAGAGAAGCTTGGGAAGTCAGGGACAGAAGGGAGAGCCAACGCACATCTTAAACTTGAAGCTCTCCCGGCTGTCTCTCTCCCAGCACTGCCTGGCTTCAGGTCCAAGGCTGGGAGCCATCACACCAGAAAGTGCCGTGGCACCCAGCAAACACTCCACAGCAACAACAGTTGGCCATGAGTCATCGCTGGCTTGAGTTGTGATGGCATCAGATTCTCCAGCAACTCAGCAGAGGATCCTGGAAATTGCTTGAGGAAGCACCACTCTGAGTTCTGCGGGGCAGGCCGGCTTTGGTGAAGAATAACAGCGATGATCAGAAAGTCCTTTAGGGCATCTACTTGGCTCTCCTTCCAACAGCCTCACAGCTTGTTAAACCCCTGTTTTGGGGGGAGGGTCTAGGAGCTGCCTTCCTGGATCTGAGAGCTGGTTCCTATGCACACAGTCAGGTTTAAGAAAAAAAGTCTTGGTTCTGCACTCACAGGCAGGTTCACTGGGCCCCAGGCAGAGCGGTGGAAGTCTGATCTAGTTGGACAGAGGGCAAGGACAGTCTTACCAGATTACAGGACCTCAAAGCAAATGGTAGACTCACATTTCTTGTGAGCTGTCAGTCTCCCCATGCCTTTACTGTCCTTGACTTGGTCTATTTCATGAGTCCTCTGTTTCTCAGGCCCACACCCTTGCCACCTTTGCCCTTTTCTTACACACCTTACCCCTTTTCCCTGTATATCAGAGAAAAATAATTTCTTCTTCTTTTCCCAGTGGAATCTATTCACTCTGACCCATACTTCCACCCTCCCTGCTGTGAAGGCATCTCTCAGCATCTGCTTTTCTCCCTGTGAGCACATTCAAATCATCATTCCAAAGAGGTGGCTGCCTACTAGAACCACGAGCCTGGCCTTCCCTTCTGACCACATGAGCTATGATGTCTAACTTTCCTTGGGAGAACTGAAATTGCTTGTCTCCAAACTTTCAAAATCATATATCCCTTGAGAATATTTTTGAGCATGCATTCCCTTCAACATTTATTGATAAATAATACACATGGACTAATCTGTTTCTATACTATTCATCATAAAAGATATCAAAAAAATTGAAAAATAGGAATCAGATAACAAAAAAAGCAATGTAGACAGGTTTAACTTCCACATTCCAGTGGGTAACCCCCCACATTCCCTGAGTCCTGTGGCATCCACAGCCATCCCATAATCCCACTTTCGCCTATGTTTGCAGCTGTTTCAAGTTCTGAGATCATTCTGGTCTTCCATTACTTCTCCTGTGGACCTTCACAATTTTGTCCTCCCTGAACTCTGTGTTCTTTCCTAGATAAACTTCTGTGCACTTTACATGAACGGCTTCCTTCTCCACCTGTTAAAACCCTAAGCATCCTTTAAGGTACAACCAAGATGCCACCTCTTCCAGGTTGCCTGGGATTATCTCCTGTGCCCAAACCGCTATACTTTCCAACCTAGGTTACTGTCTTTTGACACTCATGACTGTTTCATCTATTAATATATAGTTGTTAAGCAACTTATTCAAGTCCTGTACTATATCTAGACTTGGCTAAGCTTCTGAAAGATAGTCAAATGTCTTACTTCATCTTTGGGTACCACCATCCCATCAGTGTTTGTTGATATTTTAATGGATGCTGAATTCCTAATGGATGCCCTTAGCTTTTTCAATGGTTACCAAGTTTAATGCACTAACCTGTATGCACCAAACCTTCTTGGTGCCAAACACAGTACTGATACTTAACAAAACCATGAATGAGGCTTGAGTCATTACCTTTAAGAGACGCAGTAAAGGCATTACAATTCTAATAGAGAGCAACAGTTCTGAGTGCTATAGGAAAAGAGACGACAGGCAGCTTGAGAACTTAGGATGTAATGATGACTGAATGTATGTACAAGTACTTATGGATCTATAGTGGTAAAGGATAAACCCAGCAATATAGACCATGCATGAGAATGAGCCTTGCATGGGGAAGCATTCATGTTACAGATGCTCTGGAACTCAGAGATTTTCCCAGGCTGGTCAGCCTTCTGACCTGACTCCTGGTCCTAAGCTCCTATTCCTTCATCTGTCACAGATGTCGGTGCTGAAAATCCCTGTCACTCCCTCTACATTGCCTATCTTCGGAGAAACACTGCTATGTGCCACTTTTAGAATGAGAGCTTAGTCGCAAGAGAGTGTACTCTTTTTGAGTACAGACAAGGCTGAGAGTAACTGCTCAGTAAAATGGTGTGATGGGAAGGGTGGGAGCCTGAGAACCATCCCTAAGCCAGAGAATCTGCCACCATGACACCTGTTGGCAATTTCCTGAGACCTTGGCATAATATTTTAGGCCTTGCCATTGCCCCGTTCCCCTTTCTTCTCAGGGAATGCAACTTCTGTGCAAGAACTAGCTGGACAATTACTGTCACTACAACCAGAGTAAAGAGAAGGTATAAATTCCTAGAGACTGGGTGGAACACTGACCCCACACTTCCTAGATGGCATCACATTTAAGTCTCCAATAAATAGTGTCAGATGGGCCTAGAACTGCCCTTTTGTGGCTGAGGACAACTGGGAGAATACAGCTTGCTCAGAGTGAGAGGGCTAGTGGCAGGGATGCAATAGATGCGTGCAAGTCGTAGATCTCTGCATCAGCCTTGTCCCTTCTACTCGGCTGGACTCTCGCTTGCTTTCCCAGATCAGTGTCACTCCCTTCTCCAGGCTCCCCTGGCACCTCTGCAAACTTTCCCCAGCGCAGGCCCCTTCCCACAGCGAGCAACTTTCTCACGGAGACAACGTCCTGATGGCAGCAGGAAGCCATCAAGTTGATGAGAAATGAAACCTCGGTTGTTTCCCCGAGCCTCTGGCGGGACCTTACACCTACTAGCAGCCAGCCCCACTGTGAGAGAGAATAGAAGCAGAGTGACAGACCTCCGCCGGGACCCAGCAGGGCTGGCCTGGCGGAGGTGGGGGTGGCAGCTGCCTGGTAACTGCCAAGCTGCTGCCAGCTTGGGAAAGCTCCCAGGCCTTCACACCAAATTGTTCTCCTCCTACTCGGCAGCCCTGGGGCCCACAGGATGATTAGCAGCCCTTGCCAGGCTTTGTTCAAGTGTTTCAGGAGCTGGGGGTGGTGTGGTAGGAGGGCAGTGAGTTTTTTGAGGTTTTTTTTTTTTTTTGTCAGCTCTGCCATCTTTTTGGCACGACTTCTTAGGAAAGTTCTTCAGAATGATGCATGCTCAGTCTTGCTCCCCAATTCTGGCCATTTTTCTCCCGTCCTATTCTCCCTGTAATGAGCACTTTCTCTTCTGAGCCCCTCCAAGGCATGCTCCAGGGCAGGAGCTCTGGGGCTCACTCTCAGTGCTCAGCAGAGAAGGAGATGACGCAAAGATTGTGGAAAGACACGATTAAGGTAGGGAACCGGCTTCTTTCCTAGTTGGTCCTGTCTGTCACTTTCCTACGATCGAGAGTGATGTCACTGAAGGACCGAAGGGAGGGATGAGTTGGAAACATTTTAGAGAGGGCCAGGGAGATTGTTCAGTGATCATCCAAAGCCTGTGCATGGGTCAGAGCTGCATGGTCCCACAAGCACTACCAGGTGTAGGTCTGGGGATCCCCAGCACTGCTGGCCAGAGCACCATGGTATCTGGTTGGCCAAGCAATGATGGGAGTAGTCTTCCAAAAAGATTCAACAGATTCTGGGGAGTAGGAACAGAAGAGGCACCGTATACAGGGTAGCAATAAAAATTTATTACAGTTAAGGTATGTGTTTACAATGGTGTTGACAAATTATGGTCATGACGTACAATTACCTCACCTCACTAACACAAATGAGGGTGCATTTTTTAAGTGGATTGTAAAGTGTTAGACACTTGGCAAAAATGATCTAATCTAATTTACTCATCTGTAATTTTTTTTCTGGAACATAGCAGTGAACAACAACAACAAAAATCGAACGTGAATGAGACACTTAAATAAGTTATATCAAGTGACAGATGGTGAAAATTACAAAAGACGAAAGCATGGCAGAGCAGGGGGATGAGAAGTGTAAAGAATGAGAATTTCAAATCTAAGCTAGGGAAAGTGACATTCACTGAGGTCATTTAAGCGAATACTTGGAGGAAGCGAGGAACAAATAACGGGAAAGGGATGTTCCATACAGAGGCAAAACCAGGTGCAGAGATTAGAGTAGTCTTAGCTTGTTTAGCAACATTGAGAGAGCAATATGCTTGGACAGAAAGGAGAGGGAGGTTATGGGAGGGATCAGAGAACAGAAGGGTGGACATGGTAATGACCTTGACTTTTACTCTGAATAAAGGAAGGAGGAAAACACGAAGGATTGTTCAGTATAGCAGTGCAATGATCTGGCCTTAGTTTTAGCAGATTTTCCAAGAAGTATAATAACATACTTTTTGTTTGTTTTGTGGCCACATCCAGCAATGCTGAGGTCTTACTCCTGATTCTGCACTCAGGAATCATTTTCTGAGGCTTGGGAGACCCTACATGGTGCTTGGAATCAAACCTGAGTCAGCCACAGGGAAGGCAAGTGAACTACTAGCCATATGATGACTCCATCCTCAACAGACCTTTTCAAAAACTTTTCAAACTCCAGAGCAGAAATAGGAGCCCCTTTAGGTGATTGAGTAATCCGGGCAGAACATGGTGATGCCTCAAGTCAGGGTAGGAGCGTGCAGGTGTTGTGAAGTGAAAGAGTTTGATGACAACTTGGATGTGGGAAAGAGAAAAGCTGATGATGATTCAATAGTTTTAGGTTGAAAGCTTTGAAGAATAGGCGTTACCATTTACTGAAGCAGGGGTAACTGCTAGAAAAACAGATTTTACAGGGGAAGTTCAAAGAGCTCACTTTAGCACGTTAGGCTTCAGGCGCCTGTTTGAATTTTAAGTAGAAATGTCAAGTAGAGGAGTGAGAGGAAAACCAGGAGAATGCAGTGAATCTCAAATTAAAAAAGTGGAGAAGGAGCTGACCAACTGTGTTCATTGTGCTGTTGAGGAAAATGGCCTCTGAATTTAGTCACCTGGAATTCATGGGCTCTCTTGACCAATACTCTGAACGGAAGAGTGAGGTTGCATATTGATTGTGGGGCTTTTAAGAAAATGGAGCAGTGAAATTTAGACAAATAACTGCAACAGCTTTGTGATAACGGGCAGGAGAGAAATGCGGTGGTAGCTGGAGGGAGAAGTGATGTTCAGGAGAATGCTTTTATTTTTTTATACAGGAGAAATGACCGTATGTTCATATATTGATTTTTAAGAACTATAGGAGAAAGATGATGATGGTGTGTGTGCATGTGGACATGTATGTGAGAGACAGAGGGAGAGAAAGAGGGATAAACAGGGAGAGGGGTGGCTGGAGTGATAGCACAGCAGGTAGGGCATTTGCCTTGCATGTGCCCAACCTAGGTTCGATTCCCAGCATCCCATGTGGTCCCCCGAGCACTGCCAGGAGTAATACCTGAGTGCATGAACCAGGAGTATAACTCTGTGCATCTCCGGGTGTGACCCCAAAAGCAAAAAACAAGCAAGCAAACAAACAAAAAAAAATAGGGAGAGGGAGAGCATGAGAGAGACAGGGAGAAACGCATTCCTGAACCAATCAATGACTCTCAATAGACTATAAAGAGGAGATTGAGTGTACACCTGGAGGGCATGGACTGAGAAAAAAGCATGGAAAGTTCATTGCGGGCAATAGGAGAAAAGGTAACAGTGTAGGCATGTGAGTACCAAAAGAAATTTGTGGGAGATCTCTTTTGATTGCCTAAATTTTCTCAGCATAATAGAAAATATGGTTCTATTTCTAAATAGAAAATATGTGCAGGGGAACCCAAAGTGAGAGATTAGAGGAGAGAAAAGAAGGTACAATAGGAGAGTGAAAAGGGAAAAAGGACATAGGAAACAAAGTTCCAAGTAATACCAATGGCTCCAGATTTATGGGGAAATATACTGAAAAGCCAGGTTTTATGGGTAAGCTAAATTATCAGGAGAGAAATTTTTGAAAAGTTGGAAAGTACTTTTTTTTCCTTAAAAAAGGCTGAAATAGAAATGTTCTTACCTCACGCAGGTCATATTTTTTGAGGCTCCCATCTTTATTGAATTCAGCCAATACGTCCTTTATCTTCTTGGAAGAATCTAGGGAGATATAATGTCCATGTGAAACACTGGTGAACAGCAGATGGGAGCTGAGCCAACTAAACTCTTTCTGGTTAACCTGAGTTACAGTGGAGTGAGTCCTCATGTACAGGGACATATAGAGGAATTTTATTCCTATATGACTTCTGATTTCTTTTTTTTTTCACTTTATTCTCTCTCTTGGACTCTGTGCCAGGTGTGGGGTGGGTGAGAGCCCTCCCCACCCCAAGGGACCCAGCCCGGGAAGCTGACCTCCACTGTCGAACCATCATCACGCTCCAGGCTGTTTTCTGGATGCTCAGGTGAGCCTCACATAAGAATGAAGTCCCATGGAACCCAGATAATGCAGAACTTTGTGACCTTAGACTGAGGACTCAACGGGACCTGGAGCAGAGAACCTCTGCCTGCTTCCCCCAGTCTCTGCTGACTCAGGGATCACACCCATAAGCCACACCCTGCCGGCTCCATATAATCTCCTCATCGGCCACCCTCCAGAACTCAAGGATGCTCCTCCCAGACGAGAGTATAAAAGAAGGTTCCCAGAACCATGCCGCTGGACTCCACGACAGGCTGTGGGGCAGGTGAGAGCCCTCCCAACTCCAAGGGACCCAGCCCTGGCAGCCGAGCACCACTGCCCAACCACCGCCATGCTCCAGGCTGCTTTCTGGACACATTATAAGACACTTCCTAACCCATTTATGCTTCTTGGAGAGCCTGGCAAGCTACCAAGAGTATCCTGCCCGCACGGGCAGAGCCTGGCAAGTTCCCCGTGGTGTATTCAATATACCAAATACAGTAACGACAATAGGTCTCATTCCCCTGACCCTGAAAGAGCCTCCAACCATTGGGAAAAGATGAGTAAGAAGAAGCTGCTAAAATCTCAGGGTTGGGAGGATAGAGACGGTATTGGCGCTTGCTCAAGTAATTCGACGATCAATGGGACTACAGTGATACAATGACAGTGATTCTCTCTCTTACTTTATGAATTATTTTTAAATAAAATCTGATCAGTGTTATGTTCCTGCTCAAAACACTTCAATAGTGCTCAATTTCCTCAGAATAAAAGCAAATCCACTTAGTTCTGTATAAGAGTACTTGATGGTTGATTTAGCCTTCTCCTTAGTTTTTACCTTAACCGTGATTTACCCCACTTTTTTTCATGTAGGAGTACTGCTATTTATTCAGCCACTGATTAGCTCATTGAATTGGGCATAAACTCCACCTTACTTTTTTAAAAAAATTTTTATAATTTTATTTATTGATGCAGGATATATATATATATATATATATATATATATATATATATATCGATTTGCTCGAGCGGGCCCAGTAACGTCTCCATTGGAGACTTTGTTGTTACTGTGTCTGGCATATCAAATATAGCACAGCGGTAGGGCGTTCGCCTTACAAGCGGCCAACATGGCCGACCCGAGTTCGATTCCTCCGCCCCTCTCGGAGAGCCCGGCAAGCTACCGAGAGTATTCGATATGCCAAACACAGTAACAACTAAGTCTCCAATGGAGACGTTACTGGGCCCGCTCGAGCAAATCGATGATCAACGGGAGGGTCTTTATTTATTGAATCACTGTGAGAGCAGTTACAAAGCTTTCGGGTTTAAGTCTCAGTCATACCCGTACCTTCACCAGTGCCCATTCTCCAGCCCCCAAAACCCCAGTATACCCCCATCCCACACTCTCCCCCTACCTGTGGGGCAGATGATTTCCACATTACTCTCTCTCTACTTTGATCACATTCAATATTTTGACACCAGACCCACCATTATTGTTTGGGATTTTACCCCAACACTCAGATCTGCTGAAAAGTCAACAGTAGACAATATGTTTTCTATTGCTGGTTAAGAATAACATGATGTCGCATGGCTGCAGTAGTGGCCACGCGATTTTGAAATTCCAAAATTTTAACACTTTAATCTGGAGGGATTTATGCCAAAAACTGCTGGGTTCTGATATTTGTTCCTGAGTCTCTGGGATCATGGCTGTTAAGCAGCTTGATGATCAGGAGCCAGAAAGGCCGTTCATGGACGGCGACTCGGGGTCTCATTGGGACGAGGAGGTAAGGGCCGGCTCAGTCCCCATCTCGTGAAGCCCCACGTGTCTCATCACTGAGGGCCCAAATCTGACTGTCCAGTGGCCTCTAGGGGATGGCGGCCACCGAGCCGAATAGGGGGAGCAGGAAGAGGGACAACACCCTTTCCCCCCTGGGGTGGCCCAGCAACAGTAACCTACTGTGGGTCTGGACATATTTCTGCCAAAAGCCACTGGGTTTCAAGATTTGTTTCTGAGTCTCTGGGAACATGGCCGTTAAGCAGCTTGATCAGGAGCCAGAGAGACTGTTCATGGGCAGTGACTCGGGATCTCGTTGGGGTGGGGAGGAAAGGGCCGGCTCCACCCCTATCCCGTGAGGCCTCATGTGTCTCATCACTGTGGGCCCAAACTTGACTGTCCAGTGGCCTCTGGAGGATGGTGGCCACCGGGCTGCCAGGGGGAACAGGCCAAGGCATGAAACCTATTCTCACCTGGGGTTACCCAGCACCAGTAACCTACTTCAGGGACTGGACGCATTTTTGCCAAAAGCCACTGGATTTCGAGATTTGTTTCTGAGTCTCTGGGATCATGGCCATTAAAAGGCTTGATCGGGAGCCAGAGAGGCCATTTGTGGGCGGCGACTCAGAGTCTCTTTGGGATGGGGAGGAAAGGGGCAGCTCTACCCTCATCCCGTGAGGCCCCACGTGTCTCATCACTGAGGGCCCAAACCTGATTGTCCAGTGGTCTCTGGAGAATGGTGGCCACTGGGCTGCCAGGGGGAACAGGCCAAGGAACAAAACCTATTCCCACCTGGGTTGGCCCAGCACCGGTAACCTACTGCAGGGACCGGACGCATTTTTGACAAAAGCCGTTGGGTTTTGAGATTTGTTTCTGAGTCGCTGGGATCATGGCCGTTAAGCAGTTCGATCAGGAACCAGCGAGGCCATGCCTCCATTTATGTAGCTGAGCTGGAGGTGGTTTGTGGGTGTGTTTCCCACATACCTAAATTTTGGCCGTTTACTTTCTTGGTAAACTTTGCCTCAAGTTTTTGGGGTCTGGCCAAAGGCACAGCAGCAATTTCAGGGTATCTGGAAGTCTGAAGGCACCATCAGGCTGCTGATGCACTTGTCTCACAGGTACAGTTGGACCTACTGGCGGCACCATACCTCCATCCCACTTTTTTAACCACATACAATCATGTTTCCATAAATCCTTGACTACACTCTGTATTCCTTTGTGAATCTGTTCTCTGTGTTGCAAATTTACTACTTTTTCCAAATGTCAAATCTTTTCCAGAAGGGAAGAAGATCTGGGCCACACTCATGAAGGTTAGGGAATACTCCTGACTAAGTGCTCAGGGTTACTTCAGCTGTTCTCAGGAGACTATGTAGTCCAGGGATTGAACTCAGTTCCCCTGCATACAAAACATACCCACTAATATTTTGAGCTATTTTTCTAGCCCCAGAAAGCAATGTTATTTATTTATTTGGTTTGGGGGACACACCTGATGGGACTCAAAGGCTATTTCTGGCGCTGTGCTTAGGAATTACCCAGGGAATGCTCAGGGGACCATATGTGATGCCAGAGGTTGAAACAAGGCTGGCAGAAGCAGCTGCACATGCCCTACTCTCTGTATTGTCTTTCTGTTTTCCCAATTCCTGTTTAAAATCTTTCCCTTACCATTGAAAGTTACTACCTTCTGAATTTCCCACATGGCTTGTATACAATTCTGTAATACTTGCAATGCAGTGTTATAACTCCTGACTTTGTTCTAACATGAGAGTTTTTACCCACAGGCTAGTGAGTCTTTGTAAAAGATACTATATTGTGACACAAAATTACTGTCACTGTCACTGTCCTCCTGCTGTTCATCGATTTTTTACACCCAAGGTCAAATACTATCTTCCTTATAGGCCAGTCACCTAACCCTACACACAGTAATGTTTCCATTGGAGACTTTGTTGTTACTGTGTTTGGCATATTGAATACATCAGGAGTAGCTTGCCAGGCTCTGCCGTGCAGGCGAGATACTCTCGGTAGCTTGCCGGGCTCTCCGAGAGGGGTGGAGGAATCAAACTTGGGTCGGCCATGGTGGCTGTGTGCTAGGCAAACGCCCTACCACTGTGCTATCGCTCCAGCCCCAGTGACACATAATTAGTGTTCTAAAAATAAAATATGATATGATGAAATAGCATCTGTGTAGAAACTAAAAAACATAATTTTGGGAGATGATTGGGCACACCTGGCTGTACTCAGGAGTAACTCCTGAATCTACACTCAGGAATTATTCCTGGAAGTGCTTAGAGGACCATATGGAATACCAAGGATTTAACCCAGGTCATTCACATGCAAGGCGAGTGCCCTACCCACTGTATTATCTCTCCAGCCTCCCAAACATAAAATTGTATTGAATTAAATAGGATGAGTGGGAAGCTCGCTTGGACTCTGTCCTTGGTGCTGAAACAAAGATCAGGCTAGAGCTTTAGAAAATTCTGCTTACATAGGAAATAATTCAGGAGGATGAATAGATAAAAGAAATAATAACTTATTTTTATATTTACAATAGAAGTAGGAATCACAAAAATGTAAATTATCATCATTAGAAACAAATTATGGATATTCTGGGTGCATCCTTTACTATTGCCAACTCTCTAGAAATGAAAAAAAAAGAAAAACAAAAATAGAGTTTATGTGTGCTCCCTGTCTTTCAATACTGTAGGTAATCAAGAGCTTATCATGCTCCACTCTTGGAATTATTTAAATATCAGCACAAAGCGCCATGTTTTTAAAAGCTGACATAGGTTGTTTGGCTCACTGTATAGAGGCTGTGTTCTGTCAGGCCTCTATAAAGTAAATGTGCTCATTGGTTAGGGTTTTCTTCACGACTCTGCTGAATTGGATTCAATCAAGCACAAGTTATAATCATTTCAGGATTGAGACATATTGAAATGCCAC